AGAGGCACGATGGGAGGAAATACAAGAAGCCATTGTTTGGAGAGAAAAGATAGGAACGGAGCCACGAGAGAGGCAGCTGAGGATTATTCACCACAGACATACAGAACACCAGTCAGACATTCCCAACTGGTCACCTGATCGGGAAAGGTCACCATGCTTTTCAGGAAGGGATGCAGTTTATGTTGAGGTGACATTACCTGCAAACATAGAACAATGGAGAAGCTAAAAGCAACTGAAGGGTGACACATCATCCTTCTTGTAGAGGTTTCCACTACAGAGTTCAGCAGGGCGGAGATGCAAAAAAGACTTATCAATGGAAACGCAACTCACAAGTTCCATGACTCTCAAGCTGTATTACAATGACCACTGGAAGTGTCATCTTTCGTGGTAATTGGAGAAAAAATCTCAGTTCCATCTTTCAAAGGGAGCAAATTGCAACGTCAAGAAACAGTATTGATATTTTGTCACCTTTAATGGTCTGAGATTGTTGAACAAATTAAAGAGAAAAGATAAGCTGAGTAAATACTAATGGCTTTGTTGAGTAAAATTTGCATTTATGACATAAAGACATGATTCAAACTGACCTAGCATGATGTAAAAGTTGTTTTTCTTTTGCACATTTACAAATTTTGGCTATTCTGTTAGCTCAGGCTATTTGATCAGCTAAAAACAGGTTGTTATTCTCAGAGTGTTACTCTGTAATGACCAGCAAAGTGAAAAAGTAATATTTTGTACAATTATCACATTTGCTTACAAACCTGAGCAGGGTTTCACACTTATTTATTCTGTGTTGTCTCCTTAGTTTGTATGTTAAGATCAAAACAATAAAGATATGTTAATATAATTTAACTGTAATAACAAATAAGTTTCAGTACTGCAGCATTAGGAAGAATTGATGCTGTCCTGGTTTTGAATTCAAATATTTATGAGAATATAATGACATTATAAAAATGTCATTATATTCAAATGTCATTATTCAAGGGTAAAATCTACCACTTTTATATTGGTACATATAAGTATGGACCAATATATGACCTTGTATTTGTCTATATGTTTTCAGAACAGTAAATAGTTGCAGCTTAAAACTCTAAAAAATCCTTTATCTCTATCAAAAGTAAAAGTAATAATTACCTTTACAGGATTTCAAATTAAAGGTTATTAATGTTAAATTCATACTTTTGTTTTATTTGCCATTTTTTAAATATATTTTTGCATGTGCAACCTCTAAAATTCATAAATTATCTGCACTAATTGTCAAAACATGTTTTGAGACACAGCTTACATTTTTCAACTCTGTTTACAATAAATCACCTCCTTAACTGAAAGCTTGAGGGGCTTAGGGGATTGAAAGAAGCCGGATTATTTCCCCAAAGCGATCACATCAGTAGATTAATTTGTTTCTAGAACAATCAGGTCAGTCAAGAAACACAGACAGGATGAACAGCCGCCCCCCGCCCCCCTCTATCCCCATCCCGCCTCGAGCGCTTACTAGAAAGCTGCGAGTTGGGAGTACGTGGCTGCAGTGATAAGAAGCTGTTGATTAAGGCCTTCAATGAAAGATTGCACTGCATTAAATCATGATGATTACCACTGCACCCTGTGACTGCGGGTGAAAAAAAAAAAAAACATTACTGCCCGCCTCTCTTCGGCACTACTGTTACTCCTCATCTGTGCAAATCGTTCACAAGCTGATCTCATCCGTGAGCTCAACATTTTATCTTTATTCAGCCGGAGAGCAAGATGTGTTCGGGAACGACAGACGCATAAATCTGCTTCTCTTTTAGCTGGACGTACGACTCAGGAAGTCTTGAAACGGCGTCACGATGTGATGAAACCATTAACCCCAGAGAGGCAGCAGGTAGCGCCGTGCTCCGTCAGACAGGGTGTGTGCAGAGTTTGTGGCCAGGTTGGAACTTTTACGCCCTGATTATCTGTAATCGTTGTTTCTCAAAATTACAAAATACGAATGCATAAAGAGAAAGAAGCAAACTTCTTCTTGGAATGGTTGTAAAAGAGAAAATAAAAAAAAATAAAAAAACAGGAATGTGTGGAATTGGGGAAATAGCGGTGGTGTTCCACATCATCATCATGTGATACTTAAGTCAGATAAATGTCAAATAAATATTCTTATGTAACTTCAAAGTACTTGCAGGGAATAAGAGCAGTATTATTAGGAAAGGTTACAGCACCAGAAGCTTTAAATGAGCGTTTGAGGAAAGCCCCATTAGGCCGAAAAATAAACAAGACTGCAAATTACCGAGAGAGGTTGTGTTAGTCCGAAAAATGTAATTATTCTTTTTCAGGCAAAAACTAATTTATTTCACTACAGAACCAGATTAAACAATGAGTTACCCTGAAACGTATGTAGATGTATTTATCATTTTATGAAATAGAGACTAGCACAAAACGAGACAGCAGTTTTCTGGGATCTATCTTAGAGTGAAAAATGTTTAGCTGGATAAAACACAAGAAGATAAACCTGACGAATCAGGTGAAATAAGGAAAACAGCTCAGATTCTTCAACAGATTCTGGCTGAAAGCTGCCTAGACGTCTAATGGTTCTGCTTTTAGCCTGATGGCAACAGTTCAACACGTCCGCAGAGAGGGTGTGAAGAGCGTCTGACAACATTCGGAACCAAATTTAGGTTCTGAAAAGAACGTAGAGACTCTAAAGATGTTCTCAGCTCCCCTCACAATCTGCTGCAGGACAATAACTGTTGAAATGCAGCGTCAAAATCCCAACTACTGATGTTCTGAGGACGCCTTACAAAACATAACATAGGAGCAAAATACAAACCATGTATTATATTTTGATATTGCTTATACTGCTAATGTTGCTATATATGTGGTTGCTGCCACAAGAGTTGAAGAAAAGCATCTTTAAAAAAGTTTTTAGTAGCTGAATGAAGTTTGCCAAACTTACTTTATTAACATTTTCTTTAAAACTTGAAACTTACTAAATTAACTTTAAATGTAATTTCTTGTGACCGATTGCTCTTTTTCTTCAGTGTAGAGTTTTTTTTTCTTTGAAACCAATGGCTTACTTTTTAAAACTTTCAAATAAAAACAGATTTCAAACTTTGGTTTATTGAAATTTAGACTCAGGTGAGTAAATTTTAATCGTCTTCGATTAGTTTTGGTAATTTGTAATAAGAGATTTAACACTCTACTACTGATTCTGTACTTTTTTTTTTTTAAACCCTCCCATGTGCTTAATTTTTTCTGGCTGCCACATAGATATAACATACACATAAGCGTTTCTTTATACGATTCATGAAAATAACTGCCATATCGGGGGATCCAGTTAAACTGAAATATGTCAAGAAATGTGACTTCTTTTAGTTTGAAAGACCTGGTTCAGAAATACAATGAAGCCTCCTTGCCATTTCTTTTATATCATCACATGAAAGCTCAGCGCAGACAGGCCGCCTCCCAGCCTCCTTCAATCTCTGGTCCTGTCACAGCAGATACCTTTGATCTGTCTAATCAGTGAACATCAGGAACCATTTTTGACAGAATCCTGGGTGGAAAATCTTCTCTACACACAGACGCTCAGCATCCAGCTCCATGTGAACCCCAAGATGCTGGAAGCTGATGTTTAGACGGGAGCTGGGAGGGTGGGGTTCTTTCCCACACAAGGTATGAAGAAACCTTGGAATATGGACGTGCAAACAATCTAGGCATGTGTTTTTGCAAAGCTAATGTCCGTCCGGACAGCTGGAGAGCAAAGACTGGCAGCCTTCCCTGAGAAACAAGAGGTGATCCTCCGCCTAAGCCAGCAGGAAGAAGAGTGTTCAACCACATTTCCAGAGTGTTCCTCCTATAGGGAGCGTATTCTACACAGAACGCTGCAGCATGTGTTCTCACAGGGGTGAATGACATCAACTGGATATGATATGATAAACGCAAACATTTGGGATTCCTAAAACCGCCGGTCCCACAGCTACAGCGCCGCTAGCTGTTGATGTAAATTGCAGAATGCTAACACTTACAAATGAATTCCTGTCAACGTAAAGGGACATACGCACCTGCACTGGCAGGCTCCCAAGGCTCTTTATCATTTTTTTTTTTTTTTTGTTCCCCATCGAGAAAAAGGCCAGATTTCATTATGTGCTCTGAGCCATTTACACCCACACATGCTGTCCCAAATCTAAACGCTCCATTCCTAGATCCTCCTGCACATAAAAAGTGGGAATGAGAGGCAAAGTTATAATTTAGAAAACAGGAACAATATCCTTTAACTGATAACCTCCTTATTCCAGCTGGCCTGATGATGTAGACACACACACACACACACACACACACACACACACAAACACAAAAACTAAAAGCTTTCAGGCTCATCGCGCCCCCAAACAGGTGCCTGCTCTCCCTCAGTCCCCATGTTTCTTCCATCAACTCAACCATTCTGAACTTTGACCTGAAAGCACAGGTGACAGGTGTGCTTGCATTAGTGCAGTCATACTGGGAGGAAAACACTGAACTACATCTCACACCAGTGAACAGTGGAACCTTTTCCAACAGCTTTGAGGTCATTGCAAAAACAGATGCAGGATGCCAAGTGGCCTTATTGCATTAAGGGTTTTAAGCTTAATGCAATTATGAGAGTTTAGTATTTTTTTTATTTAAAACCTGTGTTTTCATGGTATGACTTAATATTCCAATATGGACTATTTGAGGCCATTTAGGGGTTCCAAAATGGGAAATGAGCTTTTAAGATTGTGCACTTTGTATGTTAGCACTGGTTTTATATCTCCATGCAGCTTTTGAGTTGTTTATTTATATTTTTACACCAACCTGTAAAATTATCACAGAGACATTTTGTAAATTATAATGAAAACAATTTAAATGCACATGCTCAGCAGAGCAAAAAAAAAGAAAAAAAAACATTTAACTTTCAGTGTTTAAATTCCCATTTCACTGAATTCATAAATTTTTAGTTAATCCTCACATGACTCTGTTAGCAACTGACTGGAAACATGTGTGAGGCGGTGCTGTACCTGCAGCAGCATGGACCAGGACGCTCTGGTTCGGCCGCAGGTTGCCAAAGTCAAACAGCATCAGGTAGGCGGTGATGTAGTTGACTGGGAGGGCAGCTGCCTCCTCGAAACTCATCCCGTCTGGGATGAGGAAGGTGTGGCTGGCTGGAACCACAGCCACCTCCTGCCACAGCCCAAAGCGGTTCAGCACCATCACCTTGTCACCAACCTAAAAAAACAAGACGGCGAACGATGAGACGGACTCACTGAAAATCAGAAAACAAATGGTGCCGAGGAAACATTTATTGTCTTGGCTCGTAATTCCCTGTGACTCGCATCCTAGTAAATGCATAAAACGACCCTATAATTTTTAAAGCAGTGGTTCTCTGGAGTTTTAGCTGTTACTTTTCTAATTTCCTGCATGAGTTGGCTGTGCAGCAATGATATTGCTAGCTTGAGCATAAATGGAAACACCTTGCAGTGATTTGGGACAATGTTGTTTTAAGGCTATTTATGTCCAATTCTTTTTTTTATATAATACTTAGTATGTTTGATTTAAAAAAATATTTATCATTTGCTCCTGCTTATGTGTGGATCCCTGGATGTTTGTGGTTTAGTTTTTGCTCATTTTTTCTGTGGGACATAACTAGAGCACTAGTTTAATCTAACCTTTATTCAAAAGAAAATTTAGCTTAGAAGCTGAAATACTTTGGCTGGTGTTTGTAAAGCAGCCAGGAAAGTAGCAATCAAATCCTTTGGCACTGATTGGTTTTACCCCCCCACCAAGAGTGGCAACAAGGAAAGCGATGGGGGCTTACGCTGTAGTGCCAAGATAGTTTAAACTATACATATTCCACACTAATACGATATGACAATTGACAAAAATGTTACTTTAAGGCTGTGGAAAAATAAGGAGCAAAATCTTGAAGTCATTGGTGTCCTACCTGAACTGTTTCTTTGATACATTTGTGAAAGATGCAAATTGCATGCAAGCCTGGGAAGAATGGGAAATATTGTTTGCTCAGACAAGGTCATTTGCTGAAAAAGAAACACTGGGCATGCAAGGGTGCAACCATAAGTAGAAAATAAAATAAAATTTGTACGGCGGAGAACATGGACGGTTTCAATGGCTCAAAAGTCATCAAGAAAAAAGTAACAAAGTACCCAAAACAACACGTTTTTTAAAATAGAAATAAATGTGATTAGGGATAAAAGATTAATCATGATGAATTGATTGTTGAAATATTGTCAAATAGTTTAATAATCAGTTAATACAAACTCAACATATTTGGGCCAGTAATTAAGCCAAAACTGTGCAAAAACTATATACATTTTGCATTGAAGATAATAACACTTTTGTCTGTAAACATGTTTTTTTTCCCCAATACTCCTAAAGTGTCATAGCATTCACTAAAGGAATTATTTGAATTATTTCTCTAATTAAAATAAAGGAATTGAATAATTTGTTTGCATCATTAAAGTATTTGTCTTACTCTAGAACAAAGGTTTACGTGGTTAGATGAAAAATCTGCAGAATGTAACAACTTTTTTAACCATTTAATCATCAGAATAAATCAACAGAATAATCGATTACTGAAATGATTGTTAGTTGCAGCCCTTAATGTAATTTTCACCAACAGTTTTGGTTCCTTTCAATTTTTAAAAGCAACGTGTAGCAACCTGCGCATTCCCATCTCCTCAGCACCCAACCTTTCCTTATCAAGGCAGGATCCTCAAATACACAACTGTCTCTTTCCAGAAGAATGAGCCATGATATAAACTTCCCCCCAGCCCCAAAACCAGCCAATCAGGGGAGCTCACTCGAGGGACACAGGAAACAGAGACGACAGCGGCATTATAACTCTCTTCCTGTTTTCTTCCTCCCCCCCCTTATCCAGCCCTCCCAACACAGCCTTCCCTCCCACCCCGTTTCCATTCTCCTCACTTTTTCTCTTCCCTTCTTTCTCTTTCACTTCCTGAGTCGTTTTCCTCTTACAACTTTAGAACGTCTTCCTTCCCCTTCTTCAGTTCCCCTCCGTCTCATCCTGTCTGTCTTGGGTGGCGCTCCCGCTTTCATCCCCAGCTCCTCGTTTTGTTGTCTTCTTTTTTCTTCTTCTCCCCCCTCCTTTGTGAGGAGTGTCCCCCTTCCATCCCTTCTTCTTCATCAGCGTAACAGGACAATGGGGCCCATCTTCTCCCCTGGCTTCTCTCCACTCATCAGCCTCCCTGCCAGATTCTTCCTCATGGCTGAGCATAAGACAAGCCCTCTCCTCCTGGGAACAAACTCTCTCTCCACCCGGACCTCTCTAATGGTCTGGAGGGAGCCATGCGTCTCGCTGTCAAATCTCTCCAATTAGAGAGATTCCCGTCTCGTTCTTTCCGAGCCCTCGACTCGCTGTCATTTGGTTTACTTTCTAAACTATATATAATTTAATTTTGTTGCTGTCGCTTGGTTTCTTTATTCTGTCTACATCTCCATCTTTTTTGTCAAGGCGTTGGAGTCATCAAACTCATCAAGCTCACTGGATAATTGGGGTGCAGTGCGGTACAAAAATCGATATGCGGGGGAGTTCAAGCTTTTACAGGGAGAAAAAAAAACATGACTCACTCAGTCAAAAGGATCTGCCACCATTCTTTCATGCCCATGCAAAGCATGTGAGTTACTGTCAGTCATACAGACACATTAGTAGGAACATTCAAAGGCAAGCAAAAAGGCCTTGTGACACTTCTGTTTCAACATCTTCACAGCGTGACACAGAAACAAGCAGTCACTTCTTGCATTTCCTCTCAGCCTTCTTTCTGAGCAGTCTCAGTCGGGGTCAGGAGCGAGGGGGGAGGTCACCGAACAAAGACACTTCCAGTTAACTTTATATGAATAGACTTAATCAGATGGTGATTCAATTTTGGGGTATGCAGCCCCCCCCGAGTCAGCTGGCTTTGTAGTTCGGAGCTTTGACAAGCTCAGCAAAAAATGTATAAGGGTGAACAGATTCCTTTGAGCCGCGTTTCTGAGTCAGGCAGAGTCAAAAAAAAAAAAAAAAAAAAAAGGTTAAATGTAACACTTTTGCAGCAGCACACTCAGCTGTGACTAAAGCCTGTGGGGTAACTGAGCTTTAAACACCCCTCACATGATGTTAGGATAAACGCCAAACTCAAAAGTGAAACAATACGAGTCTCGTTTTGCATCAGTTCAAATATTTGAATTAGGTTAAATGTACTTTACTAACAAGTTAAATTTTATACTGGTTCATTTGCACATTTTCAAACTTTTGACACAAATATTGTGAAAAGAAATTAATTGGTTGAGTCTGGCTCATGACACTACGGTTAAAGATGACGGATGAACAGATTCTCACTGCAATGGATGACGGCAGTTTTTCATATACACCAAATGGACAGTTGCCCAGGATCAAACAGACGATTTATCGCAAATGATGTTGTCATTGCAGTTTTCAACAATATCACCACTGCTAGGTTTGTTAATATCATGCAGGGTTAATGTACTTAACATTCTGTATGAGTCCCAACCCCAGAAAGCCATTAGGCTGCAACATGTATAGTCAGTTTTTTTTTTGTTTTTTTGTTTTTAATTCTCACCTGCTTTCATATTCATGTATTATTCTGTGAATAAAACAAATCTGGATCTACCAAAATGAATGCATTAATCCACTGCTGAGATGTTCCCAATGAAAAAGGGCTGCATCATGTGACCTGCTTTTGTAGCTTTTTGTGTAGGCAGAGCTGTGCAGAAAGCAGCTGAAACACTAGTCACTAATAATTATGATGTTCAAAGCAATTTTATGTTGTAGAAGACTAACTTTTTCGTTCAATTTTAACACAAGATTAACTCAAACCGACTCGAGATATTTTTTACAAGTTGATCTATCAACGAGTACATCAAAACAGAGAGCGAGCATGTTAGCGCTAGCTTAGCATTTCAGTAACATGTGCCTCATGAAAACACAATTGAAGCAAGATGCGTTTACTGAAGCTGTATGAAACTTTGATGTTTCTCTTTTACTATTCAAATGAATGTATCACCTCTTCTCATTTTGCAACTGGACAAACAAAGTGAAAGTTTTCACCTTAGAAAATCAATTACATTTTACCGTTTGCCTTGTGTTGTTTTTTAAAAGTGAGCAACGAGTCATCTTGCTTGTCATTCGAGGTATTCAGATATGACCAGCGGGTAAAGGGGGGTTTCTCAAGATGACTTGAGACCAGATAGATAGGGAAGGGGGGGGGATGGAGGGGGATGACGGAGGAAATACCAGACTGACAATGTGGACCGGAGGGAGGTAATTGAGAACATATGGATCAGATCCCTCCAAAACTCGCCAGTGGAGAGAGTCTCCATGTTTTTTAAACAAGCCTGGAGGAAGAGGGGGGGGGGGCAGTGCTCCTATTTGGCATCAGGGGAGCTTTGGTGTGATTTGTGATGTTTCCTCTCTCTCTCTCACCGCTTACTCTCCATTACTCTCCCAACAATCCCTCTTAGGTCATGTCGGGTGAGCTCACTGCAGGCTCACTCAACATTACCAAGGATCTGAATGAGTGTTTATTTTGTAAAAGTTATAGGATTACAGCAAAATATGAAATCTGCAAGACAAAAGAAGTGGAATCAATCATCAAACGAATAAGTGAGCCTGGATGGCTTGGATGTGTCTGTCAGGACACATCCAAGCCATCCAGCATAGATTACAGTTCTATACCAAAGTTTATTTTCAATAAAGAAATCTAAATGTTTCCATTATTAATATCATGAATTCATATTACAATGTATTTTATGGTTCTGAGAGGCAAACAAATTAAAGAGTGAGAAATGTCAGAAAGATGAAATAAAATCCCATTTGATTTGCTGCATATGTTACTTAATCTGTTTAAAAAGCATCATGTGTTTGGAGCTTTCTTAGAAGGAAACACTCAGACACACCCATTGTGTGTCTTTGTGTGTGTGTGCGTGCGTGTGTGTGTCTGTGAGATGGATAGAGCAGCAGAGAGTGAACCTCCCTAAATAAAAGCTGCAACATCGTGGTCAGCAAATTCTCTCTGAGTTAGAAGCAAAAAGAAAAAAAAACGGATCTCAGAGATCTCCAGTCATTAGAGGGATTGGCTCTTAATTCAATTAGCTAAAAAAAAAAAAAAAAGAAAAAAAAAAGAAAGGCTGCCAGTGGATGTGGGAGTGTGATGACAAGCTGCATATGTGTGCGCGAGTGTGTCGTTTGTGACCTTTAAATCCAATCAACATCACTGACAATGAGGAAAACAGCAATAAATTAATCTGGGCTGAACTTTCACCGCCGCGTGCATCCTGCGCTCAGACGCACGCGCCACGCCCAGCCAGGTGAAGTCAGTCTGCTCGCGCTTGCATCACACATGTGCTAATCAGGGTGTTATCCGGAGTATGATGCTCAAACAATGCGAATCATCACCGCTGTGTGTGTGAGGTGAAATTGCCTTGCAGAGAACGTTGCCGTGGTGATGCCATGCAGCCAGAAAAAGAGCCACGAGCGACCACTGACCTGTGACTCATCACGAAATGCAAAAAGACGCTACCCACTCAGCCCAACAATCTTCTTATAGTAAGATTTGAAATTTAATTATGCTATAATTATTGTTGCACATATATTCGAGCCTGCAGCCTTGCAGCCGTGAGGACAAAGACGGCCCCACTGCTCACACCTGACGGTGTCTGTTCCTGCCGCGCCTCGCCCTTTTCCACTCTGCGCGTTTGTGCGCCACCGTCGCTCCCGGTAACAAAAGGCGTCGCTGACTCCGATCTCCTCCACCGGTGTCAAACCACATCAACCACTGTGAGCTCCTTCCGATGACTCTCCAAAATAAATTGCTGCCTCTCCACCAAAAAAATCAAACGTCTTTGAATTCACAGTTGCCACTTACGCAGATTCTGGCACTTCACAGTGTTCGTTCCACGCCCCTCCCCTCTCCGTTTATGTTTCCTTTTTTTATTTTTTATTACGTTGCGCTGTTCATTCTAAGTATGTGTGATCAAAAACGGATCCGATTCGCAACGGACAGAGGAGAGCTTTAACTTTGAAGGCAAGAAACTCCAATTTCCTGTCTCGCCGCTTGCCAGCTTAATGCAGCGCTCCGCACCGTGGCGCACATCAAAGCGCACAGCAGCGTGGGTGCAGCGACGATCGAAGGCATCGCGTGGATTTAAACGGTCTTATTTAGCTTTACGCTTACAACACACGCAGCTTTGGACAGACAGAAACAACAAACTGCATCTTTGCAACTTATTTGCAGCTTATAATGGAAGTTGGCTTAAGTTGCAGCTTTAAAAAAATGGTGAGACAGAAGGGGCGACGCCTGCTTTCTGGCGGCGTTACAACTTGTGTCATCAAAACACTTTTTACAGACATTAAATGATTCCCGATCCGACAAAATAAACCAATAAACTCAACTTTTATGCTCCTCAATTATTCAGACGTGAGAACTAACTGAATAAGCTGCATATTATCAAGTATAGGGCAATCAAAATGCACAAACGGATTGTAATTATTGTTACATTCGTTTTAAAAAAAAAAATCAATTTGAGCCTTGAAGCTTGAAGTTCATTACATTGTGCCACTGACACAATGAGGCTGCGCTGCCGTCTCCGAGCAGCGAGTGAAGCCTGACACGCCCATATCTCCACAAAGCACCCCAAAACGAGCTGCTATTAAACAATATCCATCACTTTCGTATTAAAAAATAAACACAGAAACAAATATTCATCTGAATGCAAAGAATGCTGGAGGGATGTGCGCTTACTTTTCTGTCAGTCACTTCTTCCCCCACAGCCTCCACCACCCCGGAGCACTCCATTCCCGGGGTGACCGGCGGGGACGGCAGCCGGTCGTAGAGACCCTGTCTGGCCATCAGGTCGGCGAAGTTGAGCCCGCAGACCTTGACCCGGACGAGCACCTCGCCGGCTTTGAGCGCCGGCTTGCCCTTCTTCACCTGCAGCTTGACTTTATCATAGCCTCCGTAGCCGGTGAGCACCAGAGCGCGGTAGGTGAACGTCTCCTCCTCGGGGGCCTTCTCGGTGGTCGCCGCCGGGGTGGCCGCTGCCTCCGCGGACTCCGTCTTGGGCGGCTCGGCTTTGGGCTCCTCGGCGGGCTTGGTCTCCTGCTTCTGGTCCACGGCGTTTTGCTGCTGAGCAGGTGCGTCCTCTCCAGACATTGTTGTGCAGAGACGGTGGGGGGATTCTAGAAAAAAAAAATTAACTTTAAAAGGTTTTCTTTTGTTTGCTTGTTTTTACTTCTTTCTTTTTTTTCTTCTTTTTTTTTCTTTAGAGAATTCTGCAGCCGTGGACGGTTTCTCCGGGCGGGAAGTGTACGATTTGCTTTGCAAGAATAAAAAGAAAAAAAGTCAGAGTTTCTCTTTTCAGCAGTCTTGCATGGAGACACAAACCCCGACAAAGTGGGTTGATCAGTGGCTGTCAACGCCGCGCTCTGACTGAGAGTGTGAGTGGGGCGAGACGGAGGCAGACTGGAAAACACGGAAAAATGCAGGGATTGGCTTATGTGGCTGTCTGGGTTTGGCTGTTCGGATGGAGCAATAAATTAAGTCCATATAGCATTAAGCAGAGAGATCAGCTGGAGAAATAGTCACGGGGAAGCAAAGCCAAGCTTAATAAAGCTAAAACCTGCCTTAAAACTGCTGGCCAGACTATTCTATTAAAACAGTTCAACTGCAGATAATAAATGCTTCTATTTATTTGGCTATGTTTTTTATGATAAGGCTCATTAAATAGAAAATCCATCCTCCTATATCTACATACAGTGCCATATTTCTTCACATTACAACAAACTATAACAGACCGACATTTAGCATCAGTGTGAGCTGGATAAAAAAAAAAAATAAATCTTTAAATGCTTTCAGAAATGCTAATCTGTTAAGGCATTTCTAACAGTTTTTTTTTCCCCCAGAGTGCCCTGTGCCTGCTGAAGACACACATTCCCACAGGATGATGCTGCCACCACCATGCTCTGACCAGAGCGCCTTCTCCCACTTTTAATGGGAATCCTCATGACTTTCTCTCCTTTCTTCCTGCTAATAGCTGCTAAGCTACATTTTCCAGATTTTAATCGGTAAAATTTTTTAAACCTATCTCTCGTTTTCCTCTCACTTCCGTTATGCACTACTTTTTGTTAGTCTCTCATGACATTGGAATAAAATACATTGAAGTCTGTGATTATAATGTGATAAAACATGGACAAAAACTCAAGGGATTAAGAATTAAAGCTCTGTATTCCTGGAGATGTTTTTTGAGACCATCTATTTGAGATTTTTTTTTTTTGCTTTTTCTTCTTTATTTGCGTGTGGTTTTTTTTTTCAAAGCTCTCCACTTTTATTCTGCATTGATTCAGCAAAATGTTGAGATTTCAAGACAGTTTGTCAGCAATAAAATGTATGAAAGCATGTGGTAACCAATGCCAGCTAATCAGCTTGATTCTTGTACTTCCTGTGACACAAATATACACACAGGTTTTTACCCAGCTGTGGTTTGTATCAGTGCATATTTGTTAGTGTTAGAGTTTGTTTTTTAATAATAAAGACAGAAAAGACAAAAGTTGTTTCTTTTTCAGCTTTTGCTGACATTTTTTTCCCCCCTTTTTGGTCTGATTGCCAGATAAATCACGAGCTGCACTGACACAGTTAAGGGATTTTAATTTATTGCCACTTGCATCTGCATTCTGTTTACTGCGGCGTGTTTAGCAGAGAGGTTTTTCAAACTCCAGGAATGGGAGGAAACGTCTGTTTATGCTGCCTATTCTACAGTAGGACTTGCAGGAACCTTGGGCCTGCGTATGGCTCATTGTTGCTACTTCCCTGCACGGTAGCTCAGAAAAATATGAGTTAGTGTTGAGGTCAGGCCAGTTTCTCGGTGAAATAATATTATCTGCTCCGTACTGCTTGGCCAGGAGTGAGGGGGAATCCGGAGCTGGCATGTGGGATGACCAATGAGCGATCACAAGAGACATTCACTGAGTCGGATTGTGTACATTTGGGTTTTCCTGCAGGTTTTACAGTTAGAAAGAAGCGTGTCTTTGACGAAACCAATTATCGCTGCAATTCATAATGGCCCCAAAATAAAATAGAGTAGATTTCAACGAACCGCATAAAAGTCTTGCCCAGTGTCCATCAGGGAGACTGACCACAGGAGGAGTGCAGAGACACCTTGTGGCTCTAAAGTGCCACTCAGCACTAAGTCAGCAGAGTCCCAATCAATATGCCACAGGGGCTTAATGATGTATAATGCAGGTGATATAGATCCACTGCTTTGACACAGGAAAAATGTTACAAACCAAAATGTTTTCTCTAACTGCTCTGTAAATACTCCGCAAGACTTGAGTGAGGCCTTTTTATCTTCCTTTTTTTCTGCCAAGGAGCCAGAGTTTAATCTCTCAAGTTTTTTCTTTGCCATTTTGCAGAGCATGTTCCAGCAGCTCAGCCGGGTGTGAAATGCATCCGTCACAGCTTAACATGGCTGGAGTTAAAGGACGAGTACGACGAGGGAACAGATACGTGCACACCTGACGTCGTCGGGAAGCTTCTTGTTGCAGTAGGCCGCAGAAAGCGTGATGCTGCTCAGCAGGATAATCAGCCTGGATAAACTCCTGTGTTCTGTTCCAGGCAAATAGACGGAGTCTGCAGGGAGTCTCTGAGGATGTGCTGTTTGAACTGTAAACACACCCACATTGCCGTTCCATTAAGATGAGCAAACACTGAGATTTGAAAGAGATCTATGAAGATAAATAAGTAAGATTCAAATCCCCTACATGGCTGCCTGCATGACTTACTGCTAGAGATTTAAAATTAATACCTTTGTGTGGCTTCAGTCACTTATCTGCTCATCAGTCAACTCATCGTGTTTCAATGACAAGTTAAACCTGTTCACCTTCTTCCACCATGAAACTGTAAACCACAATCTGAATAAACAGATTGAATTGCATATATAAGAAAAAACAAGATAAAAGCCTTCAAGCCTCAATCAGTCCAATCCAGTAACTCCATTTCACATAGTGCAATAAATAACACGTTTCTTTTTTTTACAATATTTATTTCATTTTTTTTGTTGTAAAATGTTATTTTTGTTCTGCCATTTTGTTGTATTTTTTAAATCCTGTTTCTAATCCAAAAAGCAAATAGACTTCCCTTTAACTTAATAATTTTTTAAGTTTAAAAGATAGCAGAAAAAAAAACTATTTTTCAGTTTTTTTTCTTCCACGGTTTTAAAAATATAAACATACTGAAACACCGATTTCCTTAAAACCAAGAGTTACTCTTGATTCATAACAACTGGAAAATTTATTACTATATTTGAGGGATTTTTGATGATTATTCTTGATGATTTTGGTGATGGGAGTTCACAAAATGTTTGTTGTGAGTTTCATAATTGCTTACTGTATTATGTTTTATCACATAAAGCACTTTGATCTCCTTGTCACTGAAATGTGCTGTACAAATAAACTTGACTTTATTTGACTTATTCAACAGTAACTTGATCTAAAACAATAAAAGAGTGGCTTCATTAGAAGAAGATTAAAGTTTTTATACCGGTGGCCCAGACCTGAAATTCACTGAAAGTCTGAAGAGGGTTCTGCGTCAGAATCTGACTTGATTGGAGATTTTATTTTCTTTTTTCACAGAAGAGGAGGTAAATATTCCCACGTCAAGATGTGTCATGTTGATATACTGCTATTCAAAAAGATTGAGAACTGTGATAAAATCAAAAGGTGTTTCAACAGATTATCAGTTGAATGGTGTACTTGTGCAACCACATGATTTAGTTGCTTTTTTTTCCACCATAAAAGTGACAGCTTGTTTTTCAACTTTCTCTTATTGGTCAGAGAGAAAGTGCAGGTATTATTATCTTTTTTCTTTTCTTTTTTTCCCCCTCTAAAACAACCACTGTTATTCTAACAGAAGCAGATAGACCTTTTATATGATATATTACTTTTACATTAACTAGACCTTTGGGTCAGTTGCTCTGCTCTGTAAAGGAGTCAGTTATGTAAAATGTTCTTTACCTAAGTTGAATTGTATTTAAATGATTAAACAAGTAAAAGTACAAATACTATTTAATCTTCACCTTACAGCATCATGGACAACGCAAACCTTTTCAAAATAGATGCATTCACATATTATTGATCGAACAAAAGTCATTGTTCTGTTTTATGTAGAGAGTTTCTCTTATATCAGGGATCTTTTAACACCCGTTTCCATCCCACACCTAAGAAAATAAACCACTTGATTTTTGCAGCATGTGCACAATGCAACAGCATGCTAGGATTGTATTTATTTATCAAAGCTTGTGACCGTTCTACGATGACTTTTGAGTCCAACACTTAAGCACATTTTAACTGAAAGAAGATCCTACGCTGCCATGTCAAACTTTAACATTTTCGCAGCTCAGTGCCACAGTCTGTGCTGTAATGAATGAATACTGCCACCTTCTGTTTTATTGCTGCCAACATTCAAGACAATTAAGGTAGAGAGTGTTTTTATTACCAATAAAACGTTATAAAGCCAGCAGACACTCACAGCCCTTATGGTCGGCTAAGAGAAACTGCTCCAGTAGGATTGACCATAGAATTTAGAGGATATGGATTCTGTCATATTAGTAAGGAAAAATTATGGTATTGGAAGTCATGTTTTGCCTAGAGAAATTTCACAAGATTCAAAGTATAACTATTTCTTTATTTAGTTTTTTTTATTGCTTCCTTTCATCATTAAATGTTTGCACATGTCAGTAATTAAACTCTAAATCGTTTTAAGAGCTTGTTTATTTGCAATGGCAGTGCTTTTACACTTGTATCGTTTTCAAGCAGGACACATTCAGGTTGTCTCTCATTTCGTTTTTTTCCCCATCACTCTTCACCTTGAACCCTAGATTTCTAAAGATTAGGGCAGCGGTTAGAGAAATGACCTTTATAGCCCTTGAAAGGGAAACTTTTTGAGGCTGCACTTGCAAATTTCTTTGACAAACACTCATTCAATAAAGTAGAATATTACTGACAAGATAGTTATGTTTTTCCACCAACTAAAAAAATATGATTACTATTCAATTTCTTCTAATTTTTGGCTTGATTTGCTGCTTTTATTTCATAGTGATTTCTTTGCATCTCATGTTTTGCTGTGCATTTCCTTCATTTTGAGATCAGCTTGCATAAATTATGTTTTATTCATCATGGATTGTTTTTCTTCTATTTGTAGATTTTTTTTATTAAATTTTGGTTATGTTTTTGTAGTATATAATGGTATTATTATTCTTTAATAACTGTTTTAAGATGTGGCATGCCATAGTTAAGATGCTTTTGTTGGTTTTGTATTGGCAATTCTCTATACTTGGTGGCAATTCAGCGCCTCCTAGTGGCCATTTTGAAGATATGGTCGTTAATCATGTTCACACCCACTTATTCCAGTCTTTCTTTCAGTAGTTGAGTTTTGCAGCGCTTTGGTTAAACGCGGCAACCGTAAACACATTTTTGAAGTGATTAATACAACTAGTTATTCACTACTGAGCCCTAATGAATTCTATATAGGTAATTGTATCTCATATTTTGTTCAGAAGATGAACAATCTGATTAAGCTTAAACGTAATTTTATTTTTGTCTCTGCGTCCTTTTTTCCTTTGTTTGCACTTTAAACTGCAAAAAAGTCTAAACATTTTAGGATTTATGTCACCGTGTAGCTCAACAAAAGATTCAGATAATTTTTTATAAATAAAACTCAAGGTTATTAGAGACCTATATGTTACTCATTAGTAAAATAGTTTCTCTTTACTTGCAGAAAAAAGACGATCAAAATTAATTTCATACTAAAGATTCTGAAATGAATGACTCATTTCAAACAGTTAGTCTCCACAAGGGGGCGCTGTCGGTCTGCAGTGCCAAAAGAATGACTGAGCATTGGCGAAGAGGTGCTTCGTCATTCATTCAGAAAAACGCGTCAAGGGTTTCTTTAAATGAGCTATTAAGTTTAACTACCAATATTAATTTTTTTTGTTTGCTACAGTAATATCGCGATTAAAATGTCGTGCTTCCTGTAAATGAATTCGCTTTTTAGCCATAGCCCATATTTTATTTAATAAATATAAAAAAAAGAAGAAAAAGAAAGTCGCTTAACATTGCAGAGGGACCTAAAAACTGTTTATTTTCTTGCGTAAAAGTTGTTTATCAGTTTGGATTTGATCTCAGCTGAAAAGGTAAAAATAGTTGAGGGAGGTAATAATAATAATAATAATGGCACTCAGCAGCAAAAATATCCCCCAGGTTACGTGGATTCTTATATATAAAATATATTTCCTGGCCACAAAACTTAAAAAAAAAAAAAAAAACATTTTTTTTTAATAGGCAGAGTGATTTTAGCGCACATCACCAGAGGGGAGCAAGCAGCTGTATTTTTTGCAACTCTATCAAATACATTTTTGATAACCCAGATAATTAAAAAAAGAAAAAAAATGTCAGAGATTCTTTAGTTTCTCCCTCGACCCCAAAACGCAACCTCATGTGTGTCAGACGCCAGTATTGGGAAGGCGTGGTCAGTCATTAAGTACCAGAGTTTCCAGTGGAGGCTCTGCGCGTCTTGCTCCTGGTTTCGGCACCTACCGGCTCAGACAGAGTCCGTCAGTGGAAAGCAAAGGGCTGCGCGCAGAAGACCACAGACTTTGGATTAAAAGGCGCACCGGTCCTGCGCATGAATTTGCTCATTTTTATTCTCGCTGTGCGACTCCTGTGCGCGTTTTATCGGAGGCTGGATGCAGGCGCTCGCAGTGTCAAGAATCCAGCTCTGACGGACTAACCATGGACAGCATAGGCAGCAGCCGCTGCAAGATCGTGGTGGTCGGGGATACCCAGTGCGGGAAAACGGCGCTCCTGCACGTCTTTGCCAAGGACTGCTACCCAGAGGTGGGTTTAGAGAAAACTCTCAACTTTTACAATTTTTTTCGGCACTAATTGACAGGAGGATGTAGAAAAAAGCAGAGAGAAACATCAGGTCTGATTCAGCAGGTTACATCCACCTGCCCAACAGAGAGAGACAAAGAAGTGCAGATACATGCAGGGGTTTGAGGAGGGGGATTGTTAGAAAATCATAGAACAAACTGCCTGTGTCCTTACATGATGCATCTATGTTTAATCCTTAAAATAATCTATGCATGGAGAACTTTTTACCGGTTGTAGTATTTGACTGGATTTGACTCTTGAATTATAAAAGCTGAATGGAATCTGTGATTGGATTGCATTGGTATGAATTGGGAAGTCGTGAAAAGTGTCAAAAACATTTTAAAAGCGGCTCGTCGCTGAAAGGGATCTTCTGTTTTCAGAACTATGTGCCCACCGTGTTTGAAAACTACACTGCCAGTTTTGAGATCGACAAGCACCGGATTGAGCTGAATATGTGGGACACGTCAGGTAAGACAGCTTCATATCTCTGTGTGCGCCTGCTGCTGATATCAAACCCTGCCATGCTGCCTGTCTGTCCCAGGCTAAGATCGTGAGAGGTCTGCCTCCATCTCCCCCTCTCCAACTTTCACCACCTCCCCACCCACCCCCGTCATCTCTCTGACAAATTGCTTTGACCTGCCAACTTTACGTTTCTTTTTTTTTCTCTTCTTGTCTCCGCTTGGAGGCATTTGGTTTTTATGATTGTTTTCTTTTCGAGGAGACTCCAGTGCCAGCCGTGCTTCTGTGCGCCTTGTGTTTGCATTCCTTCCTGAGCAGGCCGCTTGTCTGTGGCTGACTCTTCCCAGGCTCCGGCTGAGGGTCAGGCGACACTGGGGGAGGAGACAAGAAAAGAGGGTGAAGGCATGGATAATTCAGACAGGATGCGCCTGAAGGGACCAGTAATTGCTCTAACTGTTTAAATGTTTTCATCCGATTTAGATGAATGCAGTTTTGCCAGACGGTCGGGTCAACTATGTGGTTTGTCGTCTGCAGTTTCACAGTGTCTTGCAAAAGAATCCATACCCTTTGAGCCTCTGAGAAGAAAATCATACTTGGGTTTCTATTTTTTTATTTTTTTTCCCACAAATGAGAGTCAGAAAAGTGTAATGCAATGTATCGTTAACTTTTAGGGTGTTTTCCACATCTGATAGTTTGGTAGGCTTGGTTCAGTTGAGGACAAAAATCACATTTGTTACATTTTCAGCTGGTGTGGTGAACCAAACAAAACAAAGCCTTTGAGCAGCCTGTTCACCTCCTTGCCTGTGGTGGCGCTGCAGCAAGAACCACTGAAGGAAATGACACAAAAATATCTGAACAAGACTCTGAGTGCAACTTCCTTCTTCACGAAATGCTTGCAAAAATGGTGTGGCGTCAGATTTTAGCGAAGGAGTTTCAGATTTATTTGTAAAGCACATTTCAGCGTCAAAGAGCTTTATATGATAAAAACTTCATATGGTGGTTCTACTCTGAATACAGATGTAGTTCAATGTTCAGATTCATTCATACGAGTTTCAGCTGATGGGTTTTAGTCACCTGATCACGTTTTAAAACGGATGACCCGTTATAAAAATAACAACTGCCGGTGACATCAGTGGGAACCGATAGCAGCTGAATAGTTAAGGTTGAAGTAACCGGTTCTTGCTGAGGAAGTAGATTTCCCCATCATGCAGCCCAGCAAGATGAACTGGTGAGACTCTATTTTGCTCTTGTCAATGTGGATGGATTTACTGCTCTGAGCTACCCTGAGACTTTGCATGTCAAAGCAGTCTCGGGCCAAATCGGCTCCTGTCAACCAGGCCGGTGACATGGGTGAGCACTTCTACTGGATCCCCCCCGGGGGATTTTGTTTTTTTTTTTTTTTTTAACATAAACATTCCCAAACCTGAACTGAAGCCATATTCCAGCGGAGAAATGATGGGAGTATTTTTGTGTCACATGATGAGTCATGGAGGAATGTTGTTTTTCCTTGAACCGAGCCTCGACCCAGAGAGTAAATCAGCTTGAGCTTGTCACTCAGAGGGTTGAAGTCCTCTGGGGCCCGGGGGCCACAGTTTAGAGTTGCTTATCTCTCAGCTGTAAGAAGTTAATGATGCAGTGGGAATATTGTGCTTCTGTCCATCCTTGAAACCCCGGCAAACCACCTCTGGTGATTTCAGGCCTTAATCTTCAGTCAGGAGACGCCTAATTGACTACAAACATGACGTCACCAGCCCACAGGGCAAATGTGTGTGTGTGTGTGTGTGTGTGTGTGTGTGTGTGTCCTCAGAGGTCCTTGCGCAGTGCGGGATTATTCACTGATTCACGGCAAACACAGATGTTCATATTTTCTCTCAACAAGAAGGAATAATTGGCTCACATTTAGATGAAAAAAGCTTTCAAGTAGAAAGCGGTCCGTCTTCTATCATTCCCCGTTTAGACACCAATTATTTTTTTTTAACAGTTCTTCCCCTTCTTACCTTTCACCTCCTTATTGTTTAGACCATTTTCTTCTCTTAAGACACAATCACTGCCAGTTCAGCTACGCGTTAATTACACCAACATTCAGACCAAAGCGTGTTTTATTTTTGTTTTTGATCAGTTGTAAAAGACAAGACTCACTTGGAAAACAGGTAAACGTTGCAGTTTGAATCTCATTGTCTTCTTTTTTTGTATAAAACTTGACTATACAGTTGGAACTCAAAAAATCCAACACCAAAAAACACTTACTGGTTGTGTTAACAGCACTCTTCAGTGTGAAAGTTACAACTGGGGGAACAATACTTATCGTGAGCTATTTTCAGTATCCGAGGGGTTTAAATACAAAGTTGGAGGAAGAAAAAGCCGTAGCTGTTTTTTACTGCTAACTAGTGAGGTAAGAAAACAAAACAGTAGTAAAAATGTCCTGAAATGGACTAAAGTTTCACCCTGATGGATAATATGCAGTAAACTTTAATATTTTGAGTTCTTATTTAAAGGAGCCACACCTCAGGTTTTCAGGGAGTTTGTTCCAGAGCTGAGAAGCATCAAACCAAAATGCTGCTTCCTCTTGTTTAGTCTGTTCCTGGGAGTCAGATGGCCTGAGAGGTTTATTACATCCATCTTGGTTCTCTCATCGAGCAAGTCCAGTGATTTAAGGACAGTTGAGATGCGCTTCGTTTTCCTGGTGTTAGTCTGAACTCTGCTGGAATTTCGGAAAAGCAACTTTCCATAAAATTTCCTGAGACACCATTGAAATAATCTAACTTATTTAAAATAAAACGATCCCTCATTTTGGGGTCTTAATCGAAAAATCTTTAATGTGGCAAACCTTCGATGGACTGTAGTGATGTGGTGACAGAGATAAAAAGTTGTGTGTCACCACCAGACGTATGGTAAGATATGTTGTACTCCATAATTTAGGTCGCATGGGTCAAACTCGAGGGCCGGGGGCCAAATCTGACCCACTGTAGCTTTTTATGTGGCCTTCTAGCCTTTTCAACAAATTAGCAAAACTCACTCAAAAGTTCACACAAAATCTACAGATTTCCATACTTTTCTTCTGATTTTTAACCGTTCTTTTCTTAAAGCTCTTTAAGAACAATCAGATTTTTGATATGGCCCAAAATGAAAATGAGTTTAACACTCCTGATCTAGATGGTGGAGAACATGGATACTGAATAAAAGTGTCCCATCATGTAGCCCACTTATGATCTTTGCTTGTGTACATTCATATTCAGCAACTAACATTAAATCTTCCTCTGCCAGGAAGCTCTAGCTAATTCCTAAAAAAACCCACTCACCTATGCACTCTGTCAATTAGTAAGTTATCATTCAAACACTGGCATCCAGTCAAACCAGCACAGAAGTTATAAGTGCTTTGCTGCTTGACTGTAGTCATTTACCAATGCAGACTCATTTCTGTGGAGGGATCAAAACCATGATGAATAGCATTAAAAAGAGCTAAATATTGTCATGTCTTCACCGTTTTGTATTTTAGCAGTTTTGGGTGCTTCTTACCTCAATATTACAGGTTGGCAAGTCTGTCTGTCATGGAGCATGTTGGATTAGAGCTTTCCAGAAATTTCTTATGGAAGCTACACTCTCTTGGAAAATGGAGACTGGGGCTAACCATTGCAAACTGTGCTAACTGGCACAATAAGATGCTAACTGGCACCATAAGATGCTAACTGGCACCATAAGATGCTAAATACAGTTTAAAAGACTGCTTTAAATGAGTAAAACCGTGTTTTACAGTGACTGCTGTCTGAAACATGGTGAAAAGTTGCCTGTGCTGCTAGCATAAATAATTAGTGAGTGCTTGTAGGAGGATGGTTAGAAAGAAATATTTTGGATGCTGTTAATTAGAGAGAATGTAAGTGGCTACAATTCATTTAGGGAGGTCAAAGCTTTACAAAAGCTTGAACTCTCTGATGATTTTCTACCTACTTTCTGTCCAGCTACAGTCCACTTGACATTTTTATGTCAACGAGAGGTTTGCTTCAATTTTCCACCTGCTACATCAAATCCACACTTAGATCTGATTTCCTCTCCTCAGCCCTCACATGAAGAATTGTCTCCTCTTTAATTGCCTCCAAAGTCAGGCTTCTGTATTCTGGCTTTGTCCACAAAACATTATTGATCACTGCTTGAGGCCAGGCTACTGCGCTGCACCCGGCTCACATTTCTCTGATGTGGTTATGTAGTATTACCGGTATTCATTGCTGCTGCATGGAAGTTGGCCATTGATTACGGTAGTTTGGTTTTATTAAATCTAACACTTCCTCGAGGTCAGAGCAGGAATGGTGAGCTTTGCATCGGAGTGAGGTTGATCTTTCTGCATGTCATCAGATCTGGGTTTTTGGAAGAATTTAAAGTTTTAAGGTACTTTTTTTGTCTGTCCTGCAGCTTTTGGCCATCTGGAGAGTTAAAAAGATGAAGTGGGTATTACAGACTCATGCTGCAGAACATTGCTGAGCTGTCACATAGAGATGAACAGGAAAGTCTGATTCACAAAGCACTTATCTTTGTGTTTTTGATTAACTCTTTAAGTAACTCAAGCTGCCAACCAGTCGAAATGTCAATGCAGCTCGGTGATAACCTGTCTGAGACCCATTAGTGTTTTCTGTCAAACGCTCCGGGGCCCCACTGGTAGTCAGCATGTCTGGGGTTTTACTGTGCCTGAGGTATTATTGCACTTATTTTGTTCCCAACATGCTAAGAGAGCCTGGGAAAAGGTCTCTGTGGTTCTGTCGTGGGTTTGAAACTTCTCAAAGAGGTCGGCGTGTTGCCTCTAAAGCCTGGGCAGGCCAGGCTCTCCTTATGTTTCTGCTGTATGCAGTGTAACTCGTGCATCTCCCTGTTTTACTTCCAGCTGCCTCATTTATGCCTACCGTGATTCTCACTTGAAACTCTTGCGCTCTGTTTAGTCATGCGGGGCTGTGCTGTGAAGAAGCAATCCGCAAGAATCTTGCTTCTCTTTCTTCTTTTGAAAACATCTTTAGTGCTACTTT